TAAATTGCCACGGGAGTGTGAAAGGCACTGGCTCCCGAACCTGAATGTTCCGGGTTCGATCCCTGTGTTTGTCGAGAAAGCTCCTCAAGATTTGTCGTCGTGGTTTTGCCTCGTCAGTGGTGCAGGACAGAGAACAGTTCCTAGTCTTTCAGATGGGCAAAAAAACAAAGCCCTGTGTACACATTGGCATTCATGTAAAAGATCCCTTGACATTGACAGTTGGAATTTGAAGTAAGAGTAGGCTGCGGTCAGGGCAAAATTTCCCTTATAGCACACTGTATAGCGTATGCTTCATTATCTCGGTTGAAGCAGAAAAGTAGGACGTTACATCCTGTTTTATTTCATTTCTGTGTAGTTAAATTAAATGTAGAGGTGACTTTCTTAAAACAAGATTCATGTGATTTATATGAGCTTTTATTCTTATATTTGCCTTTGTAGAAATACTTATTTTTAGTCCCAAGTTACTGAATCCTTTATAATCAGTTTAAATACAAGAAGGCTTATATCGACTTCAACTTGTCAAAAAGAAGAGAAGAGCCATATCTTAAGAGAAGAGTCCTCTGATCAGATTTGTGTAAATTCGAAGAATAATTAATGACGTCAAATTAAATTTATAACATGATTCATTATAAAATTGTGTCATTCTTCTGTTAAAGAGAACAGAATCAATGTACCGGAATACAATTTACACAGAATTAAGGCGTGATGCTCTACAGTTCACTAGAAACTTTCTTTTGCAGCATATTTAATCCGTACAGTAATTGGCTTAAGAATGATTCAATATTGTATTCTGTTCACTAACCAAAATCATGTGACAGTCATCTGATTCTGACATAAATGATTCATATATTGAACATGACAATATATATATCATAATTATTGTTGATTTTTTTTATTACTTATATGTATATATTAATAAACCAGTGGCTGCCAGGCAGGATACGCCCACATTTTACAAGAGATGGATAGAGAACAAGCTAAAAACAAAAACGAGTTTTTGTACAATCAGTGGTCATAATCCAGAAAGTTATGGTCTGAAATGTGCAAATATCAAAAGGGACTGAGATTTTTGGAATATAAAGATATGTTTTAAGTTCCATCAAAATTGGATAAAAATTGTGACCTCTAGAGGGTCCATAAACTTGAATTACATACTTATTATACAATTTGCATACAAAGAGCAGCAATTGATTTTCCCAAAATTCCAATTCAACCTTCATTATGGTGGAATAGTGATCTAAACGTTTTTTAAAATCAAAAAAAAAATTGTGACCTCTAGAGAATCCACAAGCTAAAAATGTGATTTTTCGACCAATCAGGGACCATAATCTAGGAAGTTACAATCCGATATGCGCGAATATCGAAAGGAACCAAGATCTTTGGGTTATAAACATGCATTCCAAGTTTGATCAAAATCGGATCAAAATTGTAACCTCTAAAGTCCACAATCTAAAAATGCGATTTTTCGTACAATCAGGGGCTATGCGTGAATATCAAAAACAACCAAGATCTTTGGTTATAAACATGCATTTCAAGTTTCTTCAAAATCGGCACAAAATTATGACCTCCAGAGGGTCCACAACCTTGATATACCAGATATTTAAACTATTTTTTTACGAGGGGCGGCCATTTTGTAGGTCAGTTTTGGTCTGATTTTTACGAAATTCGAATTCAACCCTCATTACTGTGTAACGGTGATATAATCAAACGTTTTTTGAAATCGGATAATAATTGTGACCTAAAAAAAGTTGATTTTTCATACAATCAGGGGCCATAATTCAGGAAGTTACGGGCCGATAAGCGAATATTGAAAGGAACCGCGATCTTTTGGTTATAAACTTACATTTCAAGTTTCATCAAAATCAGATTAAAATTGTGACCTCTACAGGGTCCACAACCTTGATATACAATATTTTTACACTATTCGCGTACAAGCAGGGGCCATTTTGTCCGTCAGTTTTGGTCCGATTTTCACGAAATTCGAACTCAACTTTTATTATGGTGTAACAGTGATATACTAAAACGGTTTTTAAATTGGATAAAAATTGTGACCTCTGGGGGGACCACAAGCCCAAAACGCGATTTTTCGTACAATCAGGGGCCATAATTCAGAAAGTTACTATCCGATTTGCACGAATACCAAAAGAAACCAAGATCTTTGGGTTATAAACATGCATTTCTAGTTTCATCCAAATCGGATCAAAATTGTGACCTCTAGAGTGTCCACAAGCTAATAACGTGATTTTTCGTACAATCAGGGGCCAAAATCCATGAAGTTATGGTCTGATACATGCCAATATCGAAAGGAACCGAAATCTTAGGGAGATAAAGCTATATTTCAAGTTTCGTTGAAATCGGATAAAAATTGTGACCTGTAGAGTGTCCACAAACAAATTGTGGACGGACGAACAAACTGGGGCGACGACAATATACGTCCACATGGCGTATAAAAAATCTGTCTTTAAAGGGAATTTTATAATAAAAAAAATCATTAAAAAAATTGACAGTGCATGATGTCAGAGTAAGAGTCAAATGCACAGATCGTTTCTCTTCAACAATTTAAATAAATTTGGTGTCATTTCTTAATGGTGAATTTGAATCAATACCTTTATTTGAGACAAAAGGCGACATATACTTCACTTATTATTCATAAATTTCTGATCTCTCAACTTAAACTGTCACATTTAATTCACCAATTGCACCATTAGGCATATAAAAATTAAAATCTTCTCCACAGAGCACATGACAAATATAATGAGAGATAAAAAATCTGTCTCATTGGGACAAAACTAACTTTACCATCTGTCATGGTGAGCAGAAGTCTTTATTTCAACCACAACTCAGGAATATTCTAATCAGAAAATACTAGAAACACAATTTGTGGTTTTGTCTCATTTCATTTAATTCAGATTAATGATATTGATTATCATATCTTAAATTATATCTGGTCACCCTCAAAATATTACCACTAAAGCCAACAGCTGACCATAATGCAAATGAGCATGGACTAAGTCATACATTATACATGAGGTCTCACCTTCACTAATTTAAAACTTATTAAAGCAATTGCTAAAGTGTTAATTGTCGCAGGTCAACAAGAAAACAATAAATTGGATCCCAATTATGATCAGATGACTTTCATCCCAGCAGACATCCTTTGCTTACATTATACCTTTGAACTAATTCGGTCTAGACTTATTGCTTTAGGCAAAAGAGTCACATTCAATCTAGCTGTCATTAATCTATGATTTATTGTGGATATCATTTTGTCTATGGATTAATTGTTACACTGGTATTCTATTTTATGTAATCTTAACATAATTAATGGCAATAAAACTTCTTCTGCTCAAGGGTAACTTGGAGGAACAAAACTTTTTGGATAGGGTGAATGTAATTGATTATCCAATATTAGAGTTTTATCTATGCTATTAATCAAATTAACATTTCAATTTTTTTACACCTTAGATCAATGATCCATGCATTACGAAAATATTTTCATATGAAAACACAAAATGTGTGTCACAAACTAACAGAAATGATTATATAAAATCCTAATCCTAATCAACAAACCCTCACCTTTTTGTAAAATAAAATTAAAATAGAAATTGCTATTCATCAATGTTATGTTTTAGCTCACAAATTCATGATGAAAAAACTTAAATTTCCATAAATATCCAAATAATGGGTGCATCTTCTCAGTGACCTTCACATGTACACAAACTCGGTATAATCACAAAATTCTAGAATATAGTCTCATTAAAATGCATATATCGGTTGAATAATTGTTCAAATCAATTCTTTTTAACTGAAATAGATTTCTTTTGATTTCGTGTTGCCATTTTGATTTCTCTAAAATTGTTAGTCAATGTCTGACAAATATTTGATTTCTATCTACAAACATCATGTTCAAAATGACATTTAATTTATGCTTATTGTTTTAATAATTTAGATTAGGCCTACTATCTAAAGAACACTTTCAAATCCTTATTTTTGTTAAGTAATAAGGAAAATGATTATTGTTTTATAAATCATAAAAACCTGAAAACATACAAATAACAGATAACAAAACACATCCATAACACAATAAATCCTAATTTCTACTATTTCATGCCACAAGTCCATTGATTCAGTTATTTCATTTTCTAATACTGTATTAATGCCATCTAAATGTTTTAATTAGATCTCATCTATTGTAATCTTTAAAATCTATTCTCTTCCCTCCCACTGATGTAATTGATAACCATCATTAATATCAATAGAAAGCTTTTTGACATCTTTGACCCATGTAAAGAAACAATGACGCCTAATTTTCAATGGGACCCATTTCTAATTACACAATTCTATGAGTAATATTACAATTTCCTCACAGCATGGCTAACTTTAAAACTAATTTGTCCCATTAGCAGCTCCATGCTGTGCTTGAGAGTTCTCATGAAAAAAGTCTGTCGGGTAAAACACAATTTTTTTAATTTTTCAAGAGAAAAAGTCTCCTGTGTATTCAATTTTATCACATTTGGTCACCTTACCACATTTATTATGCTACCCGATTTGCTCATATAGAGGCCTATGTGTTATAATTATTCATTTACATAAAATTAAACACTTAAACAAAGGAAAACATTCAATACAGCAGAAATATTATACAATGCAGACTGTATTTATGCTTTGAATACCAAATTTAGATGAAATTTGCAATACTCGTAGCAAATGTTATTTTCTTCATAAGAATGAGAAGATTCCATCATTTTGACTGTAAGTAATATTTTCCACAAATAAATTTGAATGTATGTAAAGCTTCACAAGCGAGAGTTACAGGACCAAACTGGCGGATAAAGGTATAATCTACAAAGTAAATTAAACCTATATTTCCATGAAGGAGACTTTTTGATTTTAGCCAATGAGATCATTAAATTTAATTTTAAAAAAATGAATAACTTACGTGCAAAGGTAATCGAGGTTCACCCCGTGAATTTACTGGAAACATAATCCTGAGAGCTTGACGTTTTAAATCTATTAAACAATTATTGCAATGTTCACAACATACACCACTTTGTGTGGTACGTAATCCAGGAGGTGATTGAGATTGTGGTATTGTTGAACCTTCCAGAGCTGATGGTGGTGGACACTTTTCACTCATCCTTGACAAATGTCTTCTTCTGTCTCCAATATATGATGGTGGTCCATTCATCGTATATCTAAAATCAGCCATTTCATTCAATTTTGAATGGTCTTTTTTGGGGCTGTGAAATTTATCCACTGAAGTTTCTTTGGAATGGTTCAAATATTGGTTTGTGCTGTCTTCTGATAGAACTACATGAAGAGGTGTTGGTGATCTGACACCAAAATTGTTCTCGGCAAAGAGTTGTTCTCTCTACATAAAAAAGACAAATGAACAAAAGTGAAAACATGTGTTGGGTTTAATAGGTATGGGTATAAATTATTGCTGGTAAATCACTGTCAGATAGTCAGAGGATCAGATGAAAGGTAAAATAACAATGACTGCCTTGTATTAATCAATTGACAACCGTGAAAAATGACCAGTTAGTAAGTAAAACCAATGAGTATACACAGAGTACGTCCTGTCTGCACATTAAATGAATGATATAGGGGTAAGTAAGTGGACTTGAGATACACATACTTGATAAATAAGTAGGCTTGAGGCTAACTCATCATATATTTCATTATGTGAGTGTTGTGAATATATGTTTACAGGCTGTTTATATGCTATCTATAATGACTATGTGACACAACACATCAAATTTTTCCTTCTAGCTACATACAACAGATTGATTTTAGTCTATAATAAGCTATTCACAGTGATATTACACTGGTAGTAAATAAGCTCAAGGCAAAATAATAATAATACAAAAAAATCGCGAGGTTTATATGCATGTAGCCTATAAATTGACAGAAATCGAATGTCCAAAATAATTGGGTGCAAAGAAAATTTAATAATTTATTTTTAAGCAGGAAGTTTTTTTTCACAAATTAAGCAGGAATCTGATGATGCTGTGCCATGTACAAATTTAGGAAGACTTCCAGACTTATTTTCTTAGTTCCAAATTAAGACTTGCTTACGACAAACTGTAAATAATGGCTTAAAGGATGATTACCTTTAATCAGTCTACTCAAATTAGTTTAATAGTAAATTGCGTGGATATTATTAATTTAAGGACACATTACGTATGGCATTACTTGTCTAGCTGAAGGACATCTATAGGAAATAAGAACATTAAGGTACCGGTAGATTTTTCATGGGCTAATATTAAAGACATAAATGGTTTGACCTTTTTCGTAAAAGGGTACAGAATTTCAAAAAGAAAAAGGGAATATGATCGAATAACACATATTTTTATGGTTTTGATTTTCAACAATCTAAATAAAGAAGGGAAGCTTTTACAGTATAGTCCAATATCTTAAATTGTTTTAATTCATACTTTATAGTTTCTTTGATAATTTAATCAAATTGTCTTGAAATATGGCTACATCTGGCTCTATTTGTAGATACTCGGTTATGATCATGTTAAAATGAAAGTCCTGACCACATGGAATTGGACACAATGGCACCAAGAACATTGACCAATACCACAGATTTAGTGATGGTTGTTTCTGATGGTTAGATTGAATTATATGCTCACACAAAGGTGTGGAAATGAAATGATAATGTGGTAAACTCTGTCATTTAATGTCCATTATTCAGATATATAACCTTAAAGGGGCATTATCACTCTTACCATGAAAATAAATTTAATTAATTTTGAATAATACTATATTCAAAGTAATCTAATTAGCAAAAATCCAAGCATTGACCTACTTAAAGTAATGTATTTTTAATGAGCATTCGTTAAACTTCTCAATAAAGAACTACAAACTTTGTACACTTAAAACGATGGCTTAGAAGTATAACAAATACTTAATGCATTTTACAAATTTATAGCTATTGATATTTCCATTTGATATCTACCCTGATTTATAAAACTGTGTATGATGATAATTTAATTCAGATTGCTCTTTTGTTTATTGAAGACGAAACTGCCATCAGTATAATCTCATTGAAACAGCTGTAGAATATCTGGTTCTAGCAACTGTTGGTATTATTGGTTCATCTTGACCCTTCAACCCTTCATCTCATCCCACTCATAATAACTATAACAGTACTATCTTAACACTGGACAATGCCTGTTCATCCCCTCAAACTTTGACTTAAACCAACCACCATCTGGCCATTAAATAAATAATCACAATTCACTAAAGCTTGACTAGAGTACAGCTTTTATGGTAACTGTTATCATTAAAACCATAAAATTGATTCTAATAGCCTGTAAAATTCAATTGCCTGCTATAATATATTACTAATAATGCATACATTTATGTTAATTGAAACTGGTACCCTGGGTAAAGTTATTAACCAGAGGCATGTCTTAACACGGCTTCACCACATTCAATAATAACACTAATTTATTTAAAAATCTGTATTAAAAGTTAAAGAAATATTCTCCAAGCAATCTTCAACACAATTTTAACTTCAATAACCAATATTTCTCCTAGATTTTTTAATAAGATCTCTTTTTATATCCAAATTTTTATTAGCTAACAAGTTGTGAATGATATATAATAGTTGAAATGTTGTGTGTGTCCAATAGATGAACTAATTATGTTATAGAAACAGATCTTTAAAAAAATAAGCTTGAATATTTTTCTGATGTATGCAATTAATTTAAGAAACATTAAAATAGTTGAAATGTTTTGTGTGTCCAACAGATGAACTAATTATGTTCATAGAAACAGATCTTTAAAAAAATAAGCTTGAATATTTTTCTGATGTATGCAATTAATTTAAGAAACATTAAAATGATATTAGTAAAGAAATACATGTTGGCAGATGGTACAATCACTCTTGATGTCAACAATAAGACCTTTTCTATTCCACTAGAACAATTCCAGGCATCATAGAACAACTTAAGCTCAGCAAGACACTGACAATTGAACTTAATTCCCTGACAATAGGACCCAAGCCTTTCGATTAACCTCTGAATATTGAATTAGTTGATATCCTAGGCTAAGCATTGTTAAAATGTTATTAAAAACTTGACACAGCCAAATGTTACACACAAGACTGTGATGCCATGTTTTTTTTATTTGTTGGGGTCCACTTATTGATCCAGTTGCTTAATTGTGAAGTTGTTAAAGATATCCTTTTAAAAATCTAGATTACACACCTAACTCTTTTAAAATCCGTAACATGCCAGAACAAAGTTAAATATTTAGTTTAAGACCATCATGCATGATCAAAAGAGAGAACTTAATATAGGCTTTTGCTTGTTGCTCAATCCAGTTTTTCATTGAATAAAATATTGTTTAAACTATTCAATTACTTTAATAAAAAAATATATCATATTTCAAAAAGTTCTCAAATCGACCAGTCTGAACTAAAGTTATGGCCATGCAATACTTGCTTTCTATTGCTTATATCCCCCCCCCCCTCCCCTGCCCACATCCCTAACACCATTCTTATTTTATATTCATACAAGTCAGTCTTTCCTTTATGAAGATTTCTATACTCAGATGTGCTTAATTACATAATAATAACAGACATTAAAATTGTATATATTCTAACTAAAGTTATGACCATGAAATACTATATGAGTAACTTATAGGTAACTTAACTTTTAGAGGCATGGTTTAATGGGCATATGCTATAAACAGCAGAAGATTTGATTCTGGCAATCCAAACACTACTGTAAGATCCTATTCTTATTAAGGTTGATTTTTCAGGTAAAATTTTACCTCATATATCAAATTTGAAAATAATCATACCTGTGAAAGATACCTATTGGTTCTGGATGAAGAAATATTTGCTCTTCTGGGAGACCGAACTCTTTGGTCACCATTTTCTTTAACGCTTCTTGTACTGTGACCACTCGCCATGTAAGCTGAACTTCTTTCACAATGAGATTTCATCTGTAATAACAAAATAATTCATAATATTACATAGATTAAGAATTTTTTAGAAGCCCGGAATTAATGAATGCCACTATGGCAGTTGTTGTCTACGGCAGTGCAATATATGCCAATAACATTTCAGAAACTTCACTGAACTTTAAGGCAACTAAATCTGGTTCTGCTCCTAAATGTTTGAGGTCAATACAAAAACCTTAATCTATGGTATTAAACAGGTCACCTGTTTTGTCCTGTTTTACCCACTTGGGTAAATGTGGCTGTACACAAAAAGCTGTATGCGTAATAACAGGCAGACAAGTGATGAAGTGAAGTAGGTGGGAATTGTGGTGGGGCACTAACTGCTATCACAGAATCATTTGTTGATTCATACAAAGCAAATTTGTGGTTGAGATATTTAGTTTCAAACACATCGTCTGGATTTTATTTAGCGTACAGTGTAATCACGGAATCATTCGAAGTTTGCAAAAAAACGACATAAAATATAATACGTTATGACTATCGACCAATAGCCGTGGGGCACCATAGGCCACCAAAAATACAACTGTACATGACTGAAGCAATAGTGTGCTGTATTACTCCATCTAAATAATACTTTGATCTTTTGGAGTGTTTACAAGGATTCAATGAAATGAAATGGGTTTTAACTAGTGTTCGGATATTCGAACAAGAATACTATTCGAATATTCGTTGGGTCTTGAAATTTGTATTCGAGTATTCGAATACTATTCGAATATTTTCAAATCTTAATATAAATTTATTTAAAGTGGTTTATATTCATTTTATTATAATTTCTAATTAATTATGTAATTCGTGAAATTTCTGGTGACAAGTGAACAATACTCAAGATTATATTTTAGCAATTGCCAGTGTATCTTTTACGTAAACTGCCAATCTGTACACAAGACCTCGGTCGTCCATGGCATCGCAACAAATAGACGCGGACCTCAACCACACTCCAGTCATCTGCCATCTCCGTCAGGTGCTCTTTTAGTTTATCCGAGGTATGTGAACCTGGACATGATTTCACTTCTAGAGTCTTAGCCACCATCTCCCAATCTGGTGATTCAAAATGAGCGGTTAAATTAATGCAAGACTCATTTTGTTCATCTGATGTCCATACAGCTGTGGTCACAGGGCTAACTTCTGACTTGGGTCATCCCTGATTTGACATTCAGGGACGAACAGCATCATAGATTTCTTCCATTCTTTTTTTGAGTGTTTTTCTTGACGGCAAATTGTGGGATGGATTCAGGGCTTCTACCAATTCCCGAAAATGGTCATTGTCAATAAGAGAGAGAGGGGCTGATAATGCTTGGCTACAAACTTGATCAGTTTCTCAGTGATGTTTTTTGCTGCGCTGAATCTTACTTGCTGTTGCCTGAAGAACTTTGTGTAGAACTTTTTAATTGGCTGAATCTTGCCATGTTTCAACTTCAAGTGGTTCCAAAAGTGGTTTTACGTGCACGCTGATGTGTACACAGGACCTTGGTTTTTCATCCCATCCAAATGACTAGACAGCTGTCCTTGTAAGGCCCCCTGTCCTGCACCACTGACATGGGGAAACCACGGTGGAAAATCCCAATGAACTTTCTTGGCCAACACTGGGATCGAACCCACGACCTCCAGGCTAGCGAGCCAGCATCTTACTCACTTAGCCACCGTGCTCCCAAGGATTCAATGACAGGAGCAATAACTATGTAAAAAGTGTAAATAATTATGGAGGCAAGAACAATAACTCTGGGGTTCGATTTTATGACTAATTTAAATGTCCCAACAAGCAACCCCCCCCCCCACACACACACACACACACACCCACACCCTCCCTCTCCTGTCCCTACCACAAAGTTTAAAAAACCAGCTTGGCACAAATTGTTAGAACTCTTTTAACTTTAAGGAGCTTCATATAAGTCCAGATTCATTACATTTTTCACAAACTATCCCTGCACCAGCAAAACACTGGGATAACATTTTATGTGTGTACATATTAATCAACATCTCTAATGTGCACCAAAGAAATAACTTTCTGGCCACAACAGCACGAGTCGTCAATTACTAGAACTATTTTGCCCATGGCTATAAATCTTACTAGTGTTAGCAAAAATTTATCAACCTTAAAACCATTCTCTGAACAAACGACCGAAATTGGTCCATATATAGATCTATAGGAACAAATTCAATATTGGCGAAAGCGAGAGAAAATTGATTTAACGGGATCTTGAGAAAACATACCACAAACGTAGGATTCGACAGGGGCGGATCCAGGATTTTTTGCAGGAGGGGGTCTGCCAGGCTCATGTTAAGGAAATTTGATAGTTGACAATGCATGATGCCATAATCGTCTCTAAATAATACGTAGGAATACATACACATTGAGCTTTTTAAAGAGAGAAATATCCAACACCCGGTTTGACGTCGATTTTTATAATGAATTAATAGAATCACATTGTGATTCAATTTCATTGATGCAAAGCATTAATTGTGATATCACACATGTCTATAATATAGACATGTATAGTCTATATCATTATTTCGAGTTTTGAATGCCAGTCCCCCCCCCCCCCGCTCCCTCTGGATCCGTTCCTGCTTGGGACTCCTGTAATTCGAATGCACTTGACATCGACGCAATAATAATAATATCGTATAGCTTTAAACTAGTAATTCCCTTTAGTTGTTTTAAGATGTCTTTTATTTATTGAAAACTGATATCAAAGAAAATCAGAATCCGATTCAAATGAGCGTTATAGCACGTATACGGTGACAATAAATTCATTAATTAAAGGAACATCGTCACCATTCTTTTGATCGTTAACTTGTACCAGATGGGGAGAAATGGGCAACCTTACTTCAAAAGAAAGGCGGATTTCTGCGCCTAATTAAAAAGATTTGTTAGTGCCCCCGTGATTTGAAACCAATGATAGAATTACAATGAATTGTATAACATTAGCACCCTACCACGTAATGTGTTTTTCCATCTCATCCGTCCTTGTTTTCTTTCACAATCTCTTCGATCCTCAGTGGCTCGAGCTTCTGTCAAACGTATTTGATTTCTGTTAAGTTTTTCCTTCAGACGCCAGTGAATTAAAATCAGTTTGCTGCTCTTCACTAGTCAATTACGCACATAAAAGTAAAGTTAAAAACTACTTAAATCCAATAGTGTCCACCAGGAATGATTTATCCATTTATAGAATCACTTGAAACACAACACGCAGCAAACAGTCGAGATGGCTTTAAATAACAGATATTTATCTGTTTAAAGGCCAATTGTTCTCCATTCTATACGAATCCAGAAAAAATAAGAGACGGGAAAGCAAATATTTTTTTACAAAGTCATATACATTCCTTAGGTTAGGTATCCATTCTGCAAGACACCACGTACACGTATCGTATTAATGACAGACACGCAGTTTAAAGTTCCCCTTTCTCTATAAAATTAGAGTTTTTTCAGCTGTTTGTGTTATCATCACCTACCACAGGTTAAACAAAGTTTTAGCTACCCTCATATTTTCACTGGTTTAGTTGAATAGTTCAGTTGTTAAAATATCTCCCACTCTTCCTTCAGCAGGAACCGACCTCAACTCAGATTACTATGACTTCCGAACACGTGTGAGATGACAAGAAAAGCAGAGAAACTGAAGACTATTGCATCCAAGACAGAAAAGAAAACGTCACGCCGGCTTACTGACGAACAAGCCAACATTTCTATGGCCGCTGGTCACAATTACCATTTTCCATTGGCATAAAGAAAAACTATTCCTTGGTGATGAAGAAAAAATGCGAATGGAATGAATAATAATTTTCACGATGGGGACAAAAATAACTTATTAGTTTCTAGAAACTATTTCACAACATCACTGATCTTCTAATAATCCCAAAACAAAAAGGTAAATAAGAACTATTTTATGAGTCTAATATATTCCGGTCTATATAGTTCTTTGAATAAATCGCATCCATTGTATTGTCACATTTAAAATGTAATAATGAAATATTGAACACTAATAATATGTCAAGGGGAGAAATGCGAAGCCAGTGGTTTTAACACTGTAATTATAACTGTTTATAGATGAATGCGAACTCTAACGTCGTATGGTTTGATGACAATGTTCATCTAAACTGGGCCTATCCAAGGATGATAATTACTTCACGCACCGTCGAACACCGTATGTGCATCGTCTACATAACGGTGGCAAAACCCGTTATCGACAAAGCGCTTTGTCCATCCATTTCGAGTCTTCGATTATTAAGACGCCTTCAAGGCGAAGTGGCAGGCAGCGAAGTCAATTCAACACAAAGGATGTGGAAATATCGCAGAAAAAGATCGTTTGTAATGTTTAGCTTAAAATACTGATGGGAAGCGAGGATTGATGACTGCAGAAATAATCTTCTCAGTGTTGACTTATCCAGAGAAAAAAACACCGACTTGTTCTTATCATTAGAATACGATATATTTAGATCCTAAAGGACAAATGACATTTTACGACCGGGCGTTTATCTTGGTTTTATACCATACGTCATTAGGCATACTTTCTGCTAGTATAAAAAATCATCAGTGACATTTGACTTTCTATGTGACAAATGACAGTGTGATCTAATTATTTCTATCAATACGTGCTTTTGATTTATGAGATAGTCCTTTTATTACAGCTTATGCAAAGTATGCATCCTAGATTTCTTGAACTAATACTACTGGGTTAACTCAACGTGAAAAACAATTAGCTTTCATAATGACAATATAGGGTATTTTTGAGAAATAGTATTTATAGGTGTGTAATGAGTATTGAAATTTTCAAAACATACATTTTATTTATATTGAAACAATACACGATTCTCGTGACGATAAATTACTGCATTAAAACTTCGTTTTTCATAAAACCATAAATAAGACATTTATTCACATGTTAAGCCCATAATCAACGCTCTAGACCATCGGATGCTTTTGATTTTCAACGGATTTAAACACGATTTCTAGTTAATATAATTTAAAAAGTGGATAATCGAGACTTTGTTTATTATCGTAACAATGGTAGCAATGACAATCGAGACTACACTGTTCTTCTTATAAGGACAATAACTCGGCTTAAGAGGAAGGAATTTACTGAAATTTTAAACATGTTCCCTTTTCATTATCTATTTTGTTAACTATTATAGCGAAAACTGTCAGCTTTTTATCTATATCTTACATAATGCATCTTTAAATGATTGATGTTTGGTCTAGCATCGTGTTTTATTTTGTCTTCTTAGTTACAGTACCCAAAAATGGCATACATGTGGATTCTGGTGGGCATGTATTATTGGACAACCGACAGAAAAAATGACGTGACCCTATGATGATGATTGGACAAATAAAACGAAACTGAATGCATTAAAGTTGTGTTTAACAATTAACTTAGCACATATTAGGAAGAATAAGAAGGGACTCATTGTTTTCTCGTTGAAAGAAAAGCTCTTCTGCACTGACCCCCAACCTAGCCACTAACAATGGTTTCTTAAGAAAGCAACGAATCTGAACAGCAGGGTTAATAAGTTTAGTTTTGAAGAGCACAGCAAGGCCCTCGTTAGGATTTTTTAATGACTAAATGTCTTCAATGATAATTAATGTGTAATGAAGTTTTCCAGGGGACTCGTCGATAGTACCTTAAATGGATTCTTATAACGTTACACATGTAGTTGATAATCAATATTATTCATAGGCCAGTCCTTGGGAAATAATATGTAGACCATAATATACTGCCTTTGCGTATATTTGTTATTAAAGTATCTAAGTCTCTGACTCAATATCATCCAAAGTCTTCAACATTGAAAACACGAATTATTTGTCAATTTAAATCAACATTGATGTTATGATCTTACCGGGAAAAGATGGGTTTCCGATATTCAATATTTAAGACAAAATAATGCGTTTCAGCGTCATTTGTAACAAGGGACTCGACATATTGCACAAGTCATGTCAAACGGTGACGACATTATTATTCTTATCTGGACAGCGTGCGCAATAAATACCATCGGTATAAACTGGAATAACTAGACGCTAGAGATTGCCATTCCATTGAGACTTCTGTCGTATTTCGCCGAACATAACTGATTAGAAATTACAGTACATGTAAAAACAGAAACGATTGAATGCAAATCATTTTATATACATTCATGTTACATTATTATATGCGTTTCGACCCATTTGTGTCAATTTTTAAAGTTCTTAATTGATCATAAAAAGACATAAACCGATAAAATTAGTTGATAGTATCTTCACTAGTATTTCCATAGAATGGGGGACAGCCTTCAACAATTGTTACGTGAATTACGAAAGACAATAGTCGCGTGGTTCCTCACCACCAGTAGTTTAAGTTTTATGAACGAGTAGTGTCTGTGCTGTAAACCCCGACAAATCATATCCGTGAGATTTTGTCATTTCTATAAACTTTTCCACCAAAGATATTTATAGGCTGGGGTTTCCATGAAATGATGAAATGGACTATTTCCTGCTTTGTGACAACCTACACATACTTACACCTAAAACCCCAAAGGCTTCTGTATTATGGCGAGGGAACATGGGTGGATATCCCCCCCCCTTTACACAACACACACTCAATCTGGATTATTGTTTAGAATTATACAAACACACGCCGAATGATCATTTCAAGACAAGAACCAATTTTACATAACTGCATAATCCATATTGTGGTATATGGACTAAACATTTTATTAGTGAAATAATAAATTGTAAATAACAAACAAGGGATTGGGCATCATAAAATAAGTCAATCAAAGCTGTCATGGTGAAGAAGGAAATGATCTTTCTCTAAACAAGAAGACGTGCAACAGACAGAGACATATCCCCTTTAATCGATTCAACAAACAATCGTCTAATAATGAGAAAAACATTAAATGAACACATTTGAAAGTAGCTGGAGGCAGACCCTTTTTGAGTGTTCACAACTCAAGTTATGATTATCAGTTTTTCTCGTCGAATAAAAGCAAATTTTAAAAGTCTGAAATAGAGGCGAGCGTTTTGTAGAAAGGGTTTAGCGTAACAATTACGCTACCACACTTTTAGCACCGTATTTTCACACTGGCAAAATGATCTAAACGAAGTTTATTTATCATTCTACGGTCAATTGGGTTTCTTCTCTCAGCTAGGGGAATTAATTAGTTCGGGCAATACTAAAGTGTTTGGCCATGACTAATAATGTGCCAATATTGGAATCAATGCAACCATTGCGAGACTATTGTTTAACGCTGAACTTGTACGCGCAGAAAATAGACGTTTTTTCTTAGTCATTGTGTTTTTTAAAGAACAAAAGGGGAAACATTTCTGTTTTGTTTTTATAATGCCTTCCACGAAGCTCTCAACTGATCTTGAAAGCAATTTCATCACCCATGCCTTTCTTTATCCTTCATATTTCCTAACAATATTTAATAAACGATAATGGGATTATATCGTATTGTGTGTATATTGAACATTAACGAGGGTTTGTCACAAACAACATACACTTATTGACCTTTGTCCAGTCTGTTAACGGGAAAAGAACAATGGCAAACGATATACATGTACAGTATTATGCGCTTAAGAGAACACGGTACTTACCAGTATTCTGATTAAAACGCTTCTGGTCCTCATTTGGTTCAATTTTTTCAAAGATATGACGAATTAAAAATTTGTCAACATTCGGCATCCTCTACAAAGGGGATATGGTCATATGAAACCAGCGATACTTATAATATTGGCTAAAATCTTTTAAGGTGCTTCTTTTTAATTGAACCGGGAGATTATCTACTGTTGATATTCTGGTTTTTGTTTTCTTAATTCAATGACAAATAATCAGTTTGGGCACTTTTTACTGTGAATAATTAGATAATGTCAGTCTCGTTTATGGTCTCCAACAAGCAATGGAGTATTGTGTGTGGTGGGTGTGGGGTGCCTCATTTCGATTTCGTTAAAAAAATATTTTTTATAAAAACTCCATCCAATTCCTACAATATACTGGGCAAAGTACCCATTTTCTTTGATTACGGTACAGAACAAAAGTTGATTATTGTAGGCCTATTTCTCTTTGTATAGTCTCCC